GCATGTACATGTGTTCAGGGCGGGACTCTCATCCTACATGTACACTTTGGTCCAGATGTGAGCATGTACACTGAAGTTACGACAACTTCCGTGTCATGGCGAAGAGCTGATCTTTGACGCCACGCCACGGACACGCCCATTGACGAAAACTTGCAAATAGCACAACTTTTCATCTTCAATGCCTTTAGAAGGCACAGCAAAAATTTGAGGTCGGTCGGACTAAATCCCTAGGAGGAGTTCGTTAAAGTACGAATGTGTAAATCATCCAAAAATGGCCGTAAAATTCAAAATGGCCGACTTCCTGTGACTTTAGGCTATGGGTTCTTGAGGCTTTTTTGTGCGTCTTGATACGATACATGTCCCCAGAAAATTTCGTACATGTAGGTTGAACGTGAACGAGGGGCTAATCATTTCCAATTTTCTAGGTGGCGCTAGCGAGTCATTTGCCACGCCCATGTGCGAAACTTGTAGAATACGAAATTTTTCACCGGTTCTGACATGTTTGCAAATTTTGGTGAGTTTTCGAGTATGTTTAGGCCATGTCATTTGGGCCTACTTTGCAGAAAAAAAATAAAAAAAAAAAAATAAATAAAAATAATCCAGCAAATTCAATAGGGACCTCGCACGGTCGTGCTCGGGCCCTAATAATCCGAGCAAATTCATAGGGACCTCACACGGTCGTGCTCGGGCCCTAATAAATAAATGTTGGTAGTAATTAAATTATACAAGGAGACATAAATGTATATATTTTAATTAGTGCCTTTACTTATTCACCTTTGTTATATTCCTTATTTATTTATTCTCCGTTATAATCTACAACTTTATTTATTACAAATTTTTAAATATATTTATTTGTGTGTGTTTTAATATTTTGTCTGTTTTATTCTTCCCTTTTATTTTTCTACCTTATTTGTTTTCACCCATGGTATTTATTTCTGCCTGTCCTTTTTAAATTTCTGTATGCATTTCTGCCTCATTATGCAAATGAGGAGGGCTGTGTCTCAAGGGGTCATCTTCTCTGCTATTGGTGGACCAGTCAGACAGGAGAGCTCCTACTCTGCCTGCAGACATCAACGATCTTGCCCCTCACACAGTCAGATGGCTTCCTTCAGTGCGCTGAGGAGTTCGTTAAAGTACGAAGTGTGTAAATCATCCAAAAATGGCCGACTTCCTGTTGACTTTAGGCTATGGGTTCTTGAGGCTTTTTTGTGCGTCTTGATACGATACATGTCCCCAAAAAATTCCGTACATGTAGGTTGAACGTGAACGAGGGGCTAATCTTTTCCAATTTTCTAGGTGGCTAGCGAGTCATTTTGCCACGCCCATGTGCGAAACTTGTAGAATACGAAATTTTTCACCGGTTCTGACATGTTTGCAAATTTTGGTGAGTTTGAGTATGTTTAGGCCATGTCAGTTGAGCCTACTTTGCAGAAAAAAAAAATGAAAAAAAAACTAATCCGAGAAAATTCAATAGGGACCTCGCACAGTCGTGCTCGGGCCCTAAAAATGGGTTCTAAGACCGACACCTGAGCACACCATATTTAACTCGACAGAATGAAGAGACATAGTTGTTTACAGACACACAAAACTTCCTATTTGACAGGTAGGAAAACCATTCTAGGGCAGTACCAGAGATCCCCACCCAGTGCCTCAGTCCGTCTAACATGATGTTGTGATCAATGGTGTCAAAAGCAGCGCTAAGGTCCAGGAGTACAAGGACTGAGCACATGCCTTCATCAGCAGACTTAAAGGTCATTGGTGACTTTAAGCAGGGCAGTCTCAGTGCTGTGGTACTTCCTAAAACCAGACTGAAACCTTTCAAATAATTTGTTATTTTCCAGTACAGTGAGCTGTTTGGACACAATTCTTTCTAGAATCTTTGCAATAAAAGGCAGTTTTGAAATTGGTCTAAAATTATGTGGGGGGAGGGAGGATCTAAACCAGTTTCTTTAAAATGTGTGTTCACGCAAGCCGTTTTAAAATAATCAGGGACCCAACCAGTATAGATAGGAGCTGTTGAAACAGAGATCAAATGGGGCCAACAGAATCTATTACTTTCAGTAAAAACTTTGTAGTATTACATCAATGGGCTGAGGACACTCATTTGTGATACTGTTTTTAAAAGCTCAGACAGGTCGATGGGATAAACTGGTTAAAAATCTCTTGTTGCTGGTGAGGAACCTCTGAGTAGAGGGCCACAGGGTAATAGAGGCTCTGATTGACACCACCTTACTGGTAAAATAAGATAAAAACAATTCACAGTCATCATTACTTCCAGCTGAGGCACAGGAGGGGTTGGGTTTACCACAGCTGATCCACAGTCTTAAACAGAAACCTTGGATTATGTGTTTATGTGTAGTAATGAGTTCAGAAAAAATAGTGTGTTCTCGCATCCTTAACCAAGTTATTGTAGTTAATTAATAAATCTTTCAGACTGAGGTAATGGACTTGGAGACTGGATTTTTTCCATCTGCGCTCTGCTTTCCTGCATTCCCTTTTGAGGCTGCGAATGCTGTCATTATCCAGGGTTGCTTACTAGCTTTAGACGTAGGCCTAACCTTTAGAGGGCATATATTTAGTGACGACAAGCAGATATGATTGAAGTGATCGACCAGATTGTTGGTGTTGGAATCAGACAGGTGTTGGCTTTGGCTCTGAAAGAATGCGCAAAACTTTGAAACACTTTGTTCATTAAAGATGCCAACACACGGAGCTTGGTGAGGCGGCATGAGTACAGCGAATCGCAGCTAAAAACAATACATCTGTGGTCAGATATGGTCATGTCCACTAATTCCACAGAGGAAATGCTGACACCCAGGGTAAAAACCTCCAGTGTTGACCACGGTTATGTGTTTGCCCTTTGACAGTTGTGTTTGAAGTTAAAAGAAAGAAGTGGCCATATTTAAAAAGTTAGTTGCATTAACATTGTTGGGTCATCAACATGAATTAAAATCGCCACAAAGAACAATTTATACAACCATATACACGCTCACTAGCCCACCACCACGACCACTGACCCTCGGTTGACTAAACAATCATATTGAGGCGGACACAGTTCAGCTAGCTCGCTATAGTCATTCATTTGCAAACAGGATCCAGTTAACATAAAATCTAGATTTGCAAACAAGATAAAATCATTTAAGATAAAAGTCTTACTTGACAGAGATCTCACATTGACGAGAGCCATTTTAAATGAGTTTGTTCTGGGTGCTGGGTTGGTGCAGTTGTCCTAATCCTTAAGAGATTACTAATATTTCTGTGTGGGATGTGCACATTTCGGTTTACTGGTCTATGCGTGATGATGAAAGGAATAGAAGTCTTGGAACAGTGCTGGGAGCAGACGGCTTTACATGCCAGCAGGTGGAGACAGTTGTTTGTGGCAGTGAGGCAGAGATCTGTTCAGTGAGCGGTGGTGCGTCCAGGTGTGCTGCATGAATGATTAGTAGTCATCACGTAAGTCATGTGTGGACCAAACCACATGCTGTATGTGAGCAGCTAACATTTCTGAGCCCCGTTTGTTTGGGTGAAGTCTTAAAAAGAGGCATTCTTTGCCAGAAAACAATCTTAGTATGACATTCTGACTCCACAATAACACCAACTAGTCATCCAGTCCAGTTACAATATATTTTTTATATATTTTTAACTATGTACCATTAACACTACTATAAATATTTGTACCATTTTTTCCATTTTCTATAGCAACATCACCTTTACTGTCTGTACCTCTGTGTGTATATTGTGTAGGCTGCCTCCCTCTCCCTCCTTCACCCCAACCGGTCGAGGCATGCCGCCCACCCTGAGCCATGGTTCTGCTTGAGGTTTCTGCCTCTTAAAAGGTTTTTTCCTTGCCTCTGTCGCCTAGTGCTGCTCTCAGTGGGAACTGTTGGCTTCTGTAAATAGCATCACAGAGTACGGTCTAGACCTGCTCTTTTATGAAAAGCGCTGTGAGATAACTGTTGTTTTGTGATTTGGCGCTATATAAATAAATTGAATTGAAATTGTTTTTAGAATACTGTATTTAGGGAAACTTGGTAGTAGTTTGCAGCAGTATTTTATTTATTGTTCTTTTATATTTCATAATTTATTTATTATGTGTAATTCGGAAGTTTGCTTAAAACATTGTAAACTGATTTTAATGTTTACAAACTTAATAATAAACCAGCAGGAATTTAATGTTTGAATTTTCCCCCCTTACTGTACTGAAAATAAACCAAACCATGACTTAAAAGCTGAGGTACGTACCGAACCGTGATTTTTGTGGTACCATTTTTAGATAGATATAGATTGTATGCAAGAGACGTCCTCTATCCCAGAAAAACCTAAATTACGATGTAGCCTAGAGGACGCAAGTTATTTAGGATAATATGACCGCGTTGTGAACCTCAATACAACTCTATGAGGAAAGCTCGTAACGGCAAAGATGGCGGTTATCCCGCCCCTCCTGCTAGACTTTAATCATATTTAAACAACTACAGCTTTGTGTTGTTGGTCAGAAAATAAGATTATGCTCCCAGACACCCAGAGGGACCGAGGCCACCCCCACAGTCTCTTGAAATCTTGGGGGAAACACTGGGATCTGGTCTAACGTTACACACGTGGAACAGTGTAAAGCAGTGAAATCTCATAAAGGTTTAACATGATATGAAAGTGAGTTTCAGACAGAGTTAAAGCTTTACATAAACAGCTTTGGCAACAATGTAATTTAACTTTCCCTTAACTGCGGAACCGGAAGTTAACATTAGCTTTGTCCCGCTAGCTAGCATGCTAACACACAGGCAGCAGGCTACATGCTACAAGAGCCTCCTGCTCCTCCTCTCCGGTTCCGACCGTCACATTAAGTGTGGGTTCTGTAGAGATACGGGGTTCTGATGGCTCCACTGTTGAATCCTGCTACATTACATCTTGTTTACAGTCAATATGAAGCTACGTGTCGGAACCAGGCCGAGCTAACGCGCACGTTAGCTTCTTGTTAGCTGCTAGCTGTGTTCATGAACACTGACCTGAACATCGGTGCTATCAGAGCTCGAGCCTGCTGTTTGTCCTCCGGGGACGTTGTTGCTCCGGGGCTCCGGGTCCTGGTTGTCCTCCTCCATCCCGCTCTCGGTCCTGGTCTCTGAGATCCAGCAGGTAGTGGTGTGTCCGTCCGTATCGAGGCTTCGAAGCGCGTGTCGAGGCCCCTGTTGATGACGTATGTGGTGACGTTCGTGACCTATTCAGGAGATGGTTTGCGGTTTTGCGTGCGATTCGAAAGGAGCAGCAAAATGCAGCGGACCGTCCTCAACATTTTGTGGACTTTTGAACTTGAAATTGACACAATTAGATTTTATCTACAGCTGATTTTAAATGACTAAAAAAGTTTATCAACTTATGTCAGAATTGCTTTGATCACACAG